GCACAAATTTGCGCGGCTCACCCGGTGCAATACCACGACCACGCAGGCGACAGGCGTGAAGTGCAAGCAATTCCGCGTTTCGTCTGATGAGTGTGCGTTCCAGAGGCCTAATTAAGTCCTCTTTCCTATTCCACCCTTATTCTTATAAGGAAAGTATGGGAAGTGGAAGTGGACTTTACGGATGAGAGAATGCATGGGAAGGGAAAATATTTTCTTTCTGTGCATCCTCTCCTCCGTCGACTAAAGGTAGGCAACGCATATGCAATTCGCTATTTCATTGATTTCAGGTTACCGCTCGCCTGTTTGCCACCTTATGATATAAAAAAAGTGTTTAATTACGATTTTTTATTCCATATTATATGCAGACACTCTGATTTTATTAATTGTATAGATATAGGTAAGCTGTGTAGAATTAAAGCGATTATATCAGAGTACAGATAAGATAGTTTGTGAGATAGTTTTATGAGGCCCATGCAATGTTAACGTCGACTCGCGCCAGCCCTGACCCACATACAATACGTAACATCACAGACGATTACACATAATACCGTAAAATATTTTTGTATGAATAGTGACACCTTGAAATTGACACGCATGTTTAATTTGTATGCTTTTGTGAATACCGTTTTTGTAAATACGATTCGCCGAAATAATGAAAATATTAAATTTAAATATGGAGAAATTATTCACTTTAGAGTTTAGGAGAGATTAGGTTGCACGTAGATTTTCTTAGGTTTTTCCAACACGTGTTTAAAATTGAACTTCAATGATTTATACTTTTGTTCATTGCGAAACAACTGTAGCGAGACAATGATAGATGTTTTTAAAACTGTAAACATATTATGAAATAGACACCCAATCATATATCTGTGATTTACATATATCACACGAGAACGTCACTCGAGTCACGTACGCATCTAACATATAAAGCATAATATGCTAATCGAATTTAATTGCACATACGCATAGACATGTAAGGTGTAATTTTCTTCAAACAACAACACTTACGCGCATAACTCAGAGGGGTAGGCAGAGAACACTTACCTCGATCTGGCGCGACACACCCTCCTGCTTCTTCTAAATTCATACATCTACGCATACATTTAAGTCGGTTACGGATGTCCGATTATTAATTTTTCATTGATGTATAAAAAATTGAAACGTCTCACAATTATTTATTTATGTAAAGTTATTACGAAATGTATTACATTATCTGTATCCGTTGTTATTTATCGAATATTTATACACTTTTTTTTTAATATTAGCGATAACCGAATCAAAGTAAACAAAAAATAAACGTGGATAAAACCACGTAGATCTCGCGTGCTATAAATGTCTGATCTCTACATCACGCAGTGGGGGTTGACTGCGTGGATCCTGTATTACCGAGGCATACTTTGTAAATCACAAGATTATACGTCACGTGTGTCACGACGCTAATGATTCACGCCAATCATACCGTATATTGTAACTACATCTTATTTATATAACATTTACTTAAGATAACCCACATTCTAAATGTAGAAGTAGCAAAACTTATCTACTATACTATAATAAAAAAATATAAATAGGCATTTTTATTTAACTGGTCTTAATCTGTCCCTGTGGACCATAACGGTTATCCCTTATAGATTGTGATTAGTCACACAACATGCCGTAAAATACGATTTTTCATAAAACTGTGAGTAAGTGTTTAAGTTAGCCACGTTTATTCAAAGTGGATATTAAACTTAGTACATATATTCAAATAAGATATTTCAAAAACTAGACAATTGACAACACAGATGACTTTATTCAAGAGGAAAATACGTTGAGAAAAATATAATATTTTAACACCTTTATACTTAATTACAAAAAGATCCGTAGTTGTTACACTTACGTAAAGATGGTGATCAAGGCTTTTATAAATGCCATACATAATTATATGACATTAAATGTATCAAAAGGTTAAATCACAGTCAATAAAATTCCATTAACCGTTGAGTACATTCAGGTAAAACAAGATGTATAGTCAGGTACATTTCAACGTGGTCTAACAATATGCGAAAACAAATTAATAAAGCTACTCAACGCAGTTTAACAATACATTTAATAGTGAAAACTTTTGTCGTTTTAGTTAATAGAATTTACTTACATTTTTAAACCTTTCAGTCAAAAATTAATAACAGTCTGGAAGAGATCGCGTCAGCGTAAGCGGTCAAGATTTCCTCAGTTTTCCTTCTTTTGTGCATGAATAAGGTCTTCGTCTGCGTCTTGCATTACTGTTTTTGTTCTCGAAACAGGTGAATCATTTTAAACGTGAAATGTTGGGTGATAAGTATACAACGAGTGTTCGAAATTATGAAAATATTATGCTAACGAACCGAAAGCATAATGTTGACCGAATTACCAGTGTCCCACTTTTACCAGCCTTTTGTCTCATCTCCATCATCGTTATAAACATCTTTCAAATAATGAGGTTCTGCAAATATTACTTTGTATTTTGTCGAATACTCAACATATTTAGAACGGCCTGTCAGAGTACATTTCACTTTTTTTTTTGGGTTTGACATGCGTTTACCGTTATGAATATTATTTTTTATATACTACTAAAGTAAACTTCTACTATACTACTTCAATTAGGTTTTTATATTAAGAAACAATGTGGATAAATAGCTTATTTTATATTTAAATATTCCATGTGAATTCAGAAATAAACATTTAGTACTCTACATAAAATGTCTGTGACTTATTTATTGGACAGAGCCAGGGTTGTGACCATGAAGTAGTAAATTTAACGTTCTGGACACACTACTGGAATGTCGGTCTAAATCTTAAATAGTTATTAATTTAGATTGATGACAAGACATTGGCAAGGATGTCCGCTATAGTAGCGTAGAGCGATACGACACTGACAGACAGAACTCCATACGGTAGAATTACTCTACTAAAAGCCTTTTTATTTAATTTTAACGTAAATTAAAACGTGTTATTTTCATGACAGCGTTTGTTAAAACTTTGCGAAACATAAGACTTCTATCCCTCGCTTGCTCAAAGTTGTTCTAAAGTTTCAAAATTCTTTCGTGCAGTTTACACTATTTTTTTTTATTCTACTGACCTGGTAAAATTATTTCATAAATATTGTAAATCTAGAAATTATCCTTTTAATCCCCTAAATCAGCTTATTTCCGTTATCTTATTTTAAATCATTAACTTTTTATCATTAACTTGAGTCGCATTTATTATATGAATCATTGCGGCGTAAATAGCAATAACTTTGTAAAAGTTCACAAAGAAACAAACAACTTGTTATAATTATACTGCCTACAAATGTCGGTGAATTGCTCACTAAAAAGTGAATGACAAAGTATTATCAATGTCTGGACAGAAATAGAGACGTTTTTACAGCATCGGCTTTGGATAAATATAGACATTTATCGAGTTATCCTGACTATAATCTCTCTTTTATAACTTCGTAAAAACTATGTATACGGGCTGTGAGTACTGTAGTTATCAACTGGGTGTGACAAACTTTTATCCGGGTTTTAAATCCCTCTTAACTACTTTTGTGTTAAGTTTTTCGGAAAAAACAGAACAACAAGAGTAGTGGAGAAGAATAATGATTAATTAAATATCATTTGTTTTTTAGTCTGTTACTTGTTGAATTCTTTATTAGTCTGTCTTTAACTGTCATGAAGCGAATATTTCAAAAACATTTAAAAACTGTATGATTATTACAAAACTAAATTAAGCAACTGGCTTAAAACGGTCAAATTTCGGCTAAACGGTTAGTAGAATAAAAATCTCAGTAAGATTAAGTTTGTTGGACCTCTTTAAAGCCCACTGACTCTTTCACGTGTACGTGAGATCTAGGGATAACGCGGTAAATCGATAACAAAGTGTGTCATGAACACCTTTCGATTAGGAAAAAAATTTAAATATCATTTATTTTCGATGGATTAACTCCACTATCGAAACATAATCCTTCGATAGGTACTACTTTATCCTTTTGATTGTTACTTTAAATTAAACGTAACACTAAACTTGTAATATTTTCATTGATTAGAATTTAGTACATATTTCCCTTTTCTTGCGTAACGAAAAACATAAATAAGAAACATAGTAAAGTACCTTGACTGTCACGTGAAAAATTTATATGTATGAATGTTCTTCAACATGTAACTGAATATTCGAAAATGTTAGCAAACATTATCGCATGTTATTGTCCTCGCGAACATTCTACGTCACTTCCTTAATCGAGTGTATCAATTTCTAAGTGACTGTTGCTACGCGCACCGTCTACATGCGCTTTATCAGCTACTACTAGATTATCGACGCCTATTGCGCGGGCTTTTGTCACGGAATATTATCGATTTAATTGTACAAGCCAACTAACAATAACGATTAGACCATGAAACTTCGAGGCTGCTAGTAAACTGCAACAATTCATTTTACAATTGATACAGAGTTACTCGTGCAATCTGCTTTCATCTTGGATTTCGGCAGTTATATCTGGATATCATCAGACACCAAAACTTAAGATCGAAGTGTGAAAATTTCTCTTCGATTTTCTTGGTATTGTGAAAGGAAATTAGAGCCAATATTTAGCAAGCGGATTACTAATGAAACGGAATACTGGGAAAGCGATATTTTTATACGTAGGCAGAAGTGACGAGAGCTTACTACGCTTAAGTACGAGGCCGTTGCGAGCGGTGTTTGCGACGAGCGACGTCTCTTCAGTCAGTTGAGTCAGTGTACAACTTGAAGTCGTAGTGTACGGACGGTTCTAGCTTCGCCGCGTTATATACTTATTTGCGTGCGAAATTTGGCCGTTGTGATTTGAAAACAATTAAGTGATTGAGACTTTTACATAATTTTAAATTGTTATTTTTTTACTTTTACATTTTCGTTCTGAAATGCGTGTGTGCTCGGAGAGACAGTGCGTTCGTTGTGCCCCGGCCCGCTGGCTCGGGCGTCGCGCCTCTAAGATGGCACATTCAATGGAGATATTGCATTTGCAGTTCAAACGCATGCTCAACAAGGAACTGAGCCATTTCTCCGAATCCAGTAAATCCGGCAACCAGATCTCCGAATACATCTGCTCCACTTTCTTGGGTATGTATACATTTTTAATACTTTCTACCTTTAGAAAAAATAAAATAGCAAATAAATGTACCTAAGGAAATCAAGGGAATCTTACTATGCAGGAAGGAAGCGAAGAGGCGATGGAAATCATCAGATTTACGCATGTAATAATATGTTTCAATTTCATTAGCGTGTCCTCAATCGAAATATCGATCCTGTAAATAATAGAGCGCTCTGCCAGACAAGGCCTTTAATTATCTAATTGAAAAGGTCAATATAGGTGACCTCAATTTGTGTTTTTATTGCAAGAAAGCTAAGTATGTATTGCAGCTCTCTTCGTAGAGAAAAATTAATTAAATTGGTGTGATGATAATATTTAAAATGATTTGGTATACTCAATATACATCCTAAGACTTGGATAATATCCCAAAAATAGTTAAGTAACCCGTTAATATGATGATTATAGATATTAATATGATGATACTATCAGAAAATTGCCTATAAATATGATTTTAAAATTGCTTTACATTATTAGTACGAAAGATTTATATTTTACTATACGATGTTTCTTAAAATGATTATTAAAGATAATTCCACATCACAATCTCTAACTTCTTTTGACGACTAATCTATGGTAAAATATTTTATTCAATTTCATCTTAATATTACTATAAAAATAAAAATCAATACGGAATTGGCAAGCAATGTAGGACGAATGTCTACGCAATAGCGTATTTGTCTGAGTCTTGATTTGTGATACGTCTTTCGAAATTGCTATCATAAGATGGCTGTTGACCTTAGACCAAGATAAAGATGGTAATACCAAATCAAAGCCTCTTTAAGCCGGATAAAGGTGAAAATGATAAGCATAACATCGCTTTCGAAATTTCCTGACCCATTTTTCAGTTCGTTACACGATTATGTAATCATTTCAAGCACATAACACTTCTAATATGAAAATACTTTACGTAAATTACGATGTAGATATATTAATGTTATCAGCCAGCTATTTAACTTCGAGACTATCGCGAATGAGAGGTAAATAAATACGCTTTATCGAAATTGCTATCAAAATGCAGTGAAAGCTCATCGACCGTGTAAACAAAACAATGATAAGTAAAGACATATATAGAATAGTGAAGATCTAAAACATAAAAATTGCTGAACTATCAACATCCATATTTAAACCGATATTCGAAGAAGCCTTTTCCCAATATTTGACTGATGTTAAAATTATCAGGCATGTTGTTGATTATGTTTTTAAAATAGCATACGAAGAAATTGAACTAAACGCTAGTACTAAGTGTACTTAATTAGATCAATGAGGTAGTTTATTAAGGCCATTGGCAAATCGGCGTCGAAATAGTTAGCCAATTGATTTGTTCGGCCTTAACCGGTGACAACGATGAGCGCTGACCGCGTAGATTGACATTTTTCGAATACTATTTGAGTATTATTAAACTTTCGACTTCCTACTGCGTTTCATATTGTGTTACAATATATTGAACATAACTTCCAAAAGTTCAAGTAACGATATAAGTTAAAAATACATTTCAGACGTACTTAATTTCTCTCTGTACAGTTTTAAAAATTAAATAAAACGACTGTGAAAAAAAAAACAAATTTTTAGAAAAATAATTAATAATTTATTTTATTGTTCGGGAAATATATTTCAGAGAATCGTTGACTTCTATTTGTTCGTTTGCCAATAAGTACAGGATACTGAGAAGCTAAAACAATAGCGTTTGCCGAAATCTTTGTTTACAATAAACAGCCCGATCTATTTTTATTCCGTTTCGAATAACAAGGCCAACTAAACTCATTGATTGACATGAAATTGTTTTTGTTTATAAATCAAACAGATAATTCTATTTTACGAAGATAATTTATATTGGAGTAAATTAGTCGTAGAAAACGGCATTTTCATAAAACCCTTTGAGTCATATAGTTTATGTATTCAGTATCAATGAATGAAAGGAAAATGTCAACAAATGATACTTCGGCTTAATTATAAAGATTTATTTTCTAATTGCGTTGTTTTTCATATCACTGCCATAGATTAGATAGAACCAGGTCGCATAGTATCTTACCTGATAACAGGTAAAGTAATCCTCTGTGTAATGCACATGCCTCTATAAATCATATTATCGTTGTTTTTCTTTCACCCTTTTCTTGTACGTCATATTATGATGACTATAACTACGAAATAATTTAATTTAATAAGTTTATCCCACCTGGCGTTAATAAGGGGAGTATCGTCTAATGTATGATAATATTTGTGTCAAAAATTTAAATAAAAAAGATACATTGCTATAAGTAGTCTAAGATAGAAAGAATCAAACTTTTGTCCATAAACGCCACTCATATTTTAAACCACTGAGCGATCGATATACTCATGCGTTAAATTTGCTTTTTTAGAAACAAGTTTGCGTATAATATTTTTCATATCTGTTTCCCTACAAATTAAGTTTAATAACAAGAAATATATTTGTATATGCAAGTTTATCATACAAAGATAGTATACCGATACAGTGACCCAGAATTGTATCAATCAGTGATATTATAAGCACGCCATGTGTTGCCTACTTTCTTTCAACACGAGCACCTATTGACATCAATTGTGGCCTGATAAAACTCGCTAATAATAGTAATATTTACATAATAATGTTGTAATAGACGCGTTATTTTTATCGAATAATACTTTTGCTTTGTAAAACAAGTGTTCTAATTATATGCGGGAATCGATATCGTAATGTTTCCTTATCTTTATTCCTTATATCTTTTACCTTGACTGATCTCAGGATATGTATCGAAAACATTGAGAGCGACTACAATTTGCACACAAATTGCTCACCTTCCGAACCTATACGGCGTTAAGAAATGTAGTTAATTAACATCTTACATTTTTGCAGATAAACAACAAGAGTTGGACTTGCCGTCCTTGCAAGTTGAAGAAAACACTGAACGCACCAAAAAGAAAGAAAAACCGCGTCATGGCGGGCCAGGAGGTACCATGTCACAAGTAAGTTTAAACTATCAACAATAACAGAATTATAAATTCATTATAATTGAAATACAGATAACTGCCTAATAAATTAAACATTTATTAACCTCCCTGCGCATCCTGTTTACGAAGTAATTTCTTTATAATAATTTTCCTGTTTTACATGTACCGTTTTCAATTAATATCGTAATTTTATTTCCAGATATCCGGTGTGAAGAGGACACTGACACATACAAACAGCTTCACCGGCGAGCGTGTGCCGAGATACGGCGTGGAAACACCTCACGAGGAGGAGCTCGGTCGTTTGCTCGGAGAACTGGATCGCTGGGGTGTCGACATCTTCCGCATCGGCGACCTGACATGCGGCCGTCCGCTGACGGCCGTCGCCTACGCCGCGTTCACATCGCGCGAACTCCTCAACACGCTGCAGATTCCCGCACGCACTTTCATAGCGTTCGTAATCACCCTCGAAGAGCACTATGTGCGTGACAATCCCTTCCACAACTCTCTGCACGCCGCTGACGTGACGCAATCGACGAATGTGCTGCTCAATACGCCGGCACTCGACGCCGTGTTTACGCCAATCGAAGTGTGTGCTGCGTTGTTCGCCGCCTGCGTGCATGACGTTGACCATCCCGGTCTCACCAACCAGTTCCTGGTCAACTCCAGTTCAGAGCTCGCTCTCATGTATAACGACGAGTCTGTACTAGAGAACCATCATCTCGCTGTCGCTTTTAAACTGCTCCAGAACGACGGTTGCGACATTTTCGTCAACCTCCACAAGAAGCAGAGGCAGACGCTGCGCAAGATGGTAATAGACATGGTGCTCTCCACGGACATGTCGAAGCACATGAGCCTTCTTGCCGATCTCAAGACCATGGTTGAGACCAAAAAAGTGGCCGGTAGCGGCGTCCTGTTGCTCGACAACTACACGGATAGGATACAAGTGCTGGAGAATCTCGTGCATTGTGCCGATCTGAGTAATCCTACCAAACCGTTACCGCTGTACAAGCGCTGGGTCGCTCTGCTCATGGAGGAGTTCTTCCAACAGGGCGACCGCGAGCGGGAGCAGGGGATGGATATAAGCCCGATGTGCGACAGGCACAATGCTACTATTGAGAAATCTCAAGTCGGTTTCATCGACTATATCGTGCATCCATTGTGGGAGACTTGGGCGGACCTCGTTCATCCTGACGCCCAAGATATACTGGACACGCTGGAGGAGAACCGCGACTACTACCAGAGCATGATACCACCGTCGCCACCGCCGGCACCTGTCTCCGCCTCTCATTCGGGAGCCGACGACGATCGTCCGGAACAAATACGCTTCCAGGTACGTCTTAATTATTTACTTAGATTCATGAGGAAAAAAATTATGACCGTAAGGCGGGGATTAAATTAATTTATATTAATATATTGCCACCGGTATTGCGCACAATAATCTCATTATCTGTTGTGTTTAAATACGTATCGTGGTTTAAATATTATCGATCTTATTTGTTATAAGTAGAAATTGGACCCGGATATGGGTAGTGGATAATTCTAATTTCTATTGTCTTTAAAATTACTTTGGGCATTGTCTAAAAGTGCTACACTATTTTTAGCATAACTATTTTTGGTTCCTATAATATTATGAAAGCAGTGCAATCATTAAACAACCGAAAGTAGAGAGTGAGATGTTTATGCTCATATTTTGTTGTTACAGGTAACATTAGAGGAGGGTGAGGGTTCCGAAGAGTGCGAGGGGGAGGGAGATGGTGGGATGTGACGGAAACTACTGGGAATCTGCAAGAAACTCTCTGAGAAGATGCAGGTGTGGTGGAAGCTCTGGCAGTAGACGCCCTAGGCGGCGCCCTTGTCGGAATAGTAATACACTTGTTAACGCTTAACGTCAGAGCCGTGTGCAGCAGCATGCGCCCGCTCCGACACTATTTGTATGAATACTACGCAATGTTGTCTAGAGTTACCTAACGACTCAATGTGTCCCTCCAATGACTGTGTAACATTCGATCGTCTAGTGTTTTTACTATCCTTTCATTTTGTCGTGTTACCAAAGAGCTGTGTGGTGGTTTAGCCGAGTCGTCTGTCTCTCTCCCGTGTCCCTCGTGTCAGTAGTCGGTATTCGCGTAACGTTACGGTGTAAGTAGCATTAGAGGTCGGCGCCGCATGTCCGGCGCTGGCTAAGTAAGGACATTGAAAACGCTTATTAATTGGTATGAAAGGGTAATTTATATTGTCATATCATCCACTTTCTCATATTTAATACGGGTTTGCGATAATGATGTTATTCACCAAAATATATTAACGTTATAGGTATCCTAAAATAAAATACTATTTTAAGGTAAATTTTAAAAACGCCTTTTCGGAGTTGTTGTTGTATCGTTTTTTCTGAATATTTAATATTCGACATGTCTCTCGCCGAATGACACTACCGAGAACATCCTGTTAGATAGCTTTACTTGATTTGAATTACCTTGTAGCACCTCATTTCTAACGAAGGATCGCTGGCGATCCCTTTATTTTCTCTTTAGAGTAATGTATTATTTTTGTAAATTACGTACATATTTTAATTCTAATTTCATTCACCTAAATAGTCATTTTAAAATAGGTATATTTAAATATCTTCGCGTATGCAACTAACGGCTTGAATCTTTGAACCGAACTAATAGTACTAACAGAGGCGTGGTTTGCGACAGTACTAATTAAGAGGCATACGATAGTGACGTGGGCCGGGTCTTGCAATAGTACTTCTAAGTAGATAGTTTCCGAAACTGCGCACAACGATGTTCTCTCTCGTATCAATGTAAATGCTCATTTCACACAACTCGAAGTTTGTATGTATCTATATGTATACATTTAAATGTGCCTAGCTTGTTGTCTTCGCGACGCCTCAGATCTGAATCCGCGGCTCGCATCCTTTTCTTGTAGCCATTACCAAAGTAGTGATTAGGTTTAGATGCCTCAACCCAATAATCCACGTTGACTAAACTTACTCCCGTATTCGTTTACATCGGGGTGTAATACTTAATTAACTGTATTATGTGCATTTCATAGGAGCCGTCATCTTAGTTTACGATTTTATTATTTGTGAGCTGGTCTCTGTATTTTATGTACTCAAAAGATATTTGTTTACTATAAATAATCGTTTAAATAAATTTCTCGCCGTCAAATTTGTTTGTTGCAACGGAAAAGGTACATTTATTAACAACGGACAGTATTACCCTGTTAATCGCACTAATCATTCATCGGTGTTAAGAATGAAGGTCCAATGTACAATATTTTCGTAGGTAAATTAAGATTCAACTGGCGACCAAATTCTGTCGCCTTTAGCATTCTTAAAAATTGTAATTTCTTATTTTAAAATTTCACATAGTAGAATTCGATGTGTCAAAAGCGACGAAATTAATTTGGAACGCTTATCTACAGTATATATGTATGTTTAAACAAATCATTACGCTTATAAACGATTGTTTAAAATTATGGTAACAATTGTGTATGTATGTTAATGTTGGATAAAGATATTTGTACTATATTATGATCTGTGTAAAAAACTTTCTTACGTACTCAATAAGTACAATACCATATTCATTCGTAATTTAAGAATACACTGCATGTTGGACAAAATCTTAGAATTACCGATGTTGTGGAATACATCCAAATTCGTCAAGTTCAGACTTGTAAATGTTTAGTCGTTACAATGTTTACTTTATCTGTGGCAGAAGTTTGTAGCAGCTGCACTGCCGATTATTTTGATAAAATTCTGATTCGATGTACTTTTTGCATCCTTTACGAATTTGGAACATTTTACTTTTAAATATTAGAACAAAATAGCATATGTTATTACCTATAACCTACTCGAAAATATTAAATTGTAACTAGATTTAAATACGCTTGCTGTAAAAACTTCGTTGCAGTTAATAGAACTATTACATGTATTAAATGTTTATTATTGTAATCAAATAACATAAAGTGGTCGTGATATGTTATATCCCCTATCGTTTTATCGTATTGTGTTTGTTTTGTTTTCTGTTCATCTAACTCGATTTTTACCAAAGAGCAAAGTTCAAAGGTTTTATGTGATATTTTATTGAGTTGGCTATATGTACATCTGGCATGTCATAATTTTACTTGAATCCTGTAGTCTCTCCCTGAAGCTTGGAGCGCTAATATTTTATTGATGTGGAGAACTATCGCTAATATGAATAATACTTAGATAAATTATTATAAATACCGAGTTAAAAGTGTGCAATGCTGGTCATTTGCATTACTTTTTATGTTTAAATAAAATAGCTTGTAATAGTTTTAATGAATATTTGAGTTGAATTAAAGAATATTAATGTATTTAGAATAAAAAGATATTGGAGAAAAACGAAGTTGTTTAATTTTTTACCCTTTATCATCTTAAGAAATTGTAGTACGTCCAAAACATATCATTCCGGCCCCTAGGTTACGTTACAGCGTTATCTTACCATTATAAAGCTTATATGGACGGATGGATGTTTATTATTGCGTCTCTCAAGGACAGCTACACTGTTCTAGCTGAAATTTGGTATAGATGTAAAACATAGTCCGAACCCAGGCTACTTATTTAGTTTTTCTATTAATACGCGCGGACGGAGATGCGGGCAACAGCTACTAGGGTATAACTGGGCGCGATGGTAAATGATGGACACATCAAGGAGACCAAATTAACCATATCGTGTCATAAGAACTTATCACGCATTTTTATGGAATTTCGAAATTATAAAACTGGCAACATTATCTACACCTAAAGTAAATGTAAAACGCAATTTTTGTCCTCATTACTAGGCAAACCTAGTCAGGCTAAAACAACAGTGGCGACATTCATCAATAATTTATAATCTACAAATATAGTACACTGGCAACTCTTTGGACACAAGATTATTACTCTGTGTGAAATGCTTAATAAACTTAAAACAAAATCCGGTATACAATAAAATAAACTATATTAATACAGTTTAACACTCTTAAGGACGATAGGATTTATATTTCTTATGGTTTTACTCTCCAACCTCAATAAAAATGGTGAAACTAACAACAGAACTCATTCAAAATTCAATGCAATATATGAATCCATGCCGAGATCGTGAGCTGGATCTTAGAGGTTAGTTGTTTACTGTAAGTGAATTGTGATTGATTTTGCTTAAGGAATTTAAGTAATAATAAAGTTATTATTTCAGGATATAAAATTCCGCAAATAGAAAATTTAGGAGCTACTTTGGATCAGTTTGATACAATTGATTTCTCCGATAACGATGTTCGAAAACTTGATGGATTTCCACTGCTAAAAAGATTAAAATGTTTATTTTTTAATAATAACCGTATTGTGTGAGTACACTACATATTTTCTACATATATTTTATGCTATATCTTAAGCATAAATATTATTCATATATTCATTTTATGATTTTCAGGAGAATAGGTGAAAATCTGGAACAATATCTGCCGAATTTAGAGTCTTTAATTTTAACAAATAACAATATTGGTGAATTAGGGGACTTGGACCCTTTGGCAACACTACCTAAACTAAAAACTCTATCACTAATGCACAACCCTGTGGCCAACAAACAGCACTACAGGTAATAATTAACTTTAAAATGTGTATTAATCATATAAATGTCATCATCTTACCACATAGTTGTTGTGATCTTTCATCTGGCCATTTGTTTGCTATCTTCTATAAAAATATAGGAAGGTATTTCAGTTTGTCTTTCTTATTTTAAATTTTGACATTTGCATGCAATAAATCATATGTTCTTGATTTCAGAGCCTATGTAGCATTTAAATTTCCAGAGCTGAGATTGCTAGATTTCAGAAAGATTAAGCAAAAAGAAAGGGATGAGGCAAATACTTTGTTCAAGAGTAAAAAAGGCAAAGAAATGCAAAAAGAGATTTCAAGAAAAGCAAAAACATTTGTACCTGGAGGAAATATGCCTGATCCTAAAGTTACCAGTTAGTGTTAACATTTTAATTAGCTCTTAAATTAATCGTCAAATATAATTAAGATGATGTTCTTGTGTGTTACTGTTATTAATTAAACATTTTTTTGTAGATTTGAATCCTCAAGAAATCCACAAGATCAGGGAGGCAATCAAAAATGCTTCATCCTTGCAAGAGGTTGAGAGGTTAACAAGAATGTTGCAATCAGGTCAAATTCCCGGACAGAAGCCATTACAACCTGCAACACAGACCAATGGTCAACGTAAGTATTCCAACACAAAGACTAACCACAATGGAAAATTTTATTTCTTGTTCATAGTCATTAAGAATTATTTAATAATGAAGAATCCCATTGACCTGTTTGATTGCTGATCGGATCAGCCTAGTTTTTTTCCGTTTTTTTTTTTTTTGAGCCTTTTGAATCCCAAGAATCAATCGGACCAATGGGAAATACCTGTGATTTGAAATTGATAAAATAAATAAAAATATTTGCTAATTAATCAAGATATTTCTATGATTTCAGAAAATGAGGATGAAGAAATGGAGGCTGAACAGACTGGAAATTGATAATAGCTCTAAGAACAGATATTACAATAAGGTTGTTACACTTGTGTTTCCATTGAGTACTTCAACCTAAAAACTTTATTCAACTTTCTAGATTTTTAGCTGTAAGAACAGATAATACACACTAATAAAAGTAATGTTTTTACATTATTTTAAGTATTAAGATGTTAAGAACAGATAATTATATATAACAGGTTACAGACCCAGTATATTTTGCTACAAAAGACAGATATTGCAATTGCGACTATACATTCATGTATCATTCAATAAATAGTGATACATTTGTTGTGGCCATGACCCAACAGTTGTGGTTTAATAATTTGTTTGTGCTATAAGTTGAACTAAAATTTTTTCACAATATGAATGAAAATCAGTAAGTATTTATTGATTACTGAACTTAGAACTGGCAGATTGCCAGACACCTGACAGAATGGAAACATCGGAAGGGCAAATTGCCTCATTCTGTACATCCCCTCCTCTGTCAAATGTCTATGGGCAACAGTTACTTCATTATTTTGGCGAATTCAAGTGGCCGCATGCACCTTTGTCACCTTTTGCTATAAAAAAAAACAAATATCGGTAAAAATACAGCTATGGATTTAAAGCAAGGTGGGTATCACACAAACAGTATTTAGACTTTGCATACTTTTGAAGCATTCCTGCTTATTTATTATTTCTTATTGCTTTACCACACTTTTAACCATCTTCAACAAGAAGTAGGCAATATAAACAATGTTTAAATCATATTAGAATCTAGTTACCAACCAACTAATATGAAGTTCAATTCAAAATTTTAGTGCAGTGCAAAGTTCTATATTTTTTTAAGAAATAAAAACATCTAAAGTATTATTTGTTTTATTTAATCAAATCATCATTTTACTGTCTATAATTAATACTTGTTATGTCATTTTATTAGTCATTAAAAATTACATTCGTAGATTTAAAAACATTTACAAAATTTAGCATATAACAGTTCATCATTGCCAGCATCTAAATAAACTGTGTAGACTGTAGGTAAAAGGATGGGTCTGCCTAATAGTTCCTTTATCGTCGGCCGCTTATCCGGAATTACAGAAAGCATTGAGTCTATAAGATCTTGGAGACCTCTATCATACACTGTCATATCAATTGGATGGACGTTACCACTTGTTATCACTTTTACTAACCCCACTAGTGACTGAAAACAAACATTACAATGAGGGGTTACAGTTTCGTAGAGAAAACACAACACCTTACTCTCAATATCAGCTAAGATGTCCTTTCTGCAAGTAAAGCAAGCATCTATCAAAGTTAACATTCTTTTACAAGATTTAAGCCTTAATTTGAAACGGAATATACAGTCGAAAACTACCTCTCTTTTATGGCTGGTTTGCATTATGCTAATACAGTAGGACAGTAGCGCACAAAATAAGCGCTGGCGTAAAACTGGCATAATGTAAACACTAACAGGCAGCGCATACATGCCAGACCAGCGCTATTGTCCTAGTCTACTGGCATGATGTAAACGAGATTTTAAGACCAATAAAAAAAGTTTCATTATATAATTTTTCACTAACCTCTGAGTCAAAGGCCCTCTTATGTGTGCACATTTCATATAACATACATCCGAGCGCCCACACGTCGCTTTTGGTGTCGTATGGCTTACCCTCGCAAAGTTCAGGTGCTAGATAATAAGGAGTACCAATCACAGTTGAAGTTTTCTTTGCACTGGAATGAAGTAATTATTTTTACTTTCTTATATGGAAATAAGTTAACCGAATGAAACATCTATTATGCCCAACCTAGCTAACATCTTTGAAATTCCGAAGTCTCCAATTTTAACAATCACACCATGTGTTCCTGTTAATAAGATATTTTCTGCTTTCAAATCTCTGTGGATTATATCCAAATTGTGTATGTAGCGTACTCCCAAAAGGACTTGGCTAAAATAAAATAAAATCTCCTGAAAAATTAAAGTATTTTCATTAAGTAATACTACTGAGCCAGATGAAGTTAATGTTATACTAATTAGCATTCATTACCGTCTGTTTTATCAAATTGGGACAACGTTCAAACATATATTCCGCTAAGTTTCCTTTCGTCGCATATTCCATACAAATCATCACATGTTTTTCTTCGTAATAACAATTATAAAACTTAATTATATTGGGATGGCTCATTGTTGCTAATATTTTAATTTCATTGGCGATTTCCTAAAATTATACATCAAACAAACAAAGCTATAAATGCTGACGTAAGACACGTCGTAATAATAAATATTTAAATAAAGTATAATTTATTTACCTTATTATGGTTTTGTAGTTTCGTATTCAGTTCAATGTCCTTTACTACAGCTAGCGACTTTTTATTCCTTTTTTCACATAAGTAAACATTTCTAAAAGTTAAAACTGGTGGTTAATGTGGCATACAAAAGCATTCACAATTTTTAATAAAAAAAATAACGCACCCATACGTGCCCTTGCCTATTGTCCTTAAAACTATTAATTTGTGCAATTTAAATCTTTCTGTAATATCCATTTTGTTCAAATAAACATATTAAATTTAGCGCTTGCATTTACCACAGTCATGTATTTGCATCTACCCGAATATTTTTAATTTATTTACTAATGTAGGCTGTCTTATTTTTTTTAATAAAAGGGAACGACAACGACACAATAACTCTGTTAAATTCAAACTAAAATAAATAAATTATTTGTCATTCATTCTGGGATTAATAAAAATTATTATTAAACATAAAACAAGGAGGTAGCTAGTTGGGTATTAATAATTACAGTGTTGAAATGCTTGTCACTTGGTGAGTGCCTACATTCGCAATTTGAATCCAATTTGCTGACTACAACTTGCCTAGGCAGATTACAAAACGGCAGAATTACCGGTTATAATACTATAACGACAAAAGCATACTTTTTCATATTTACACAAATCGCTCGATGGTATCGGTACTAATATATATAAATCGATACCGTTGACTCGGCTTTGAGTCGGATCGAGACTGACTTTCCATAAAAGTTTAAAATGGTAATCTAAGCTAAATCTATACTCTGGCTTTATTTTAAAAAACTTAATAAAAAAATTGGATGGAAAATGTAAAAGAGATAAAATATTGGAATATGCGATCGTATCGTAGTCCTGTGGTATGGTATACTCCTTCGGAATCAAATCAACACCCTTATTACTAAATAGACACTCACTACGTACCCTTTAATTAACATTTTTAATTTACATGTAAAATTAAATTTTCATCTCCTGAAACACTATAAAAAAATTAACAAAAAATTTGGGGAAAGTTATTAAATAGCAAAGTTGTGAATTAAGTTTACAATAACAATTGATACTGGTATCCCTGCAATGCAGCAAAGGATCCCCGAAATGACATTTCTTATCGTCTTCATAAGATTTTCAACTTGCCTAAAAACAATAAAGACCATCTAAAAACAAAAGTTACTTTCCATAAGGTGTTTTGAATTTATAGTTCCATTCCGTCGAAGAGAGAATAATTCGCATTTAAAATGGGACAGATAATGGGTTCTTATAATGCCCGAAATGTCGATCTTTACATGGACGATAAACCAACTTTTAATCCTCAAGATGGGTTTTCTTTTGAGCGTAAACAGCGAGGTACATCATAATTATTAATTAAAATAAACAAAAGATAAATTGTTCTTAGTAGTATATGACAGTCATTGTTTTTTTCTTTTTTAACTGTTACATAATTTGGCAGGTTATTTTGTTATTATATGCCAGTGTTACTTCGAAGTAAAGTGTTAAATTCAAAAAAATCGTTAAAACATAATTTTTACCTACAGAAATGATAGCGCGAGATGAAGATTTAATTTCAGCAAGAATACCTCCCTCGAAACGCGACTACTGTGCCCATCATTTGCTGGAATATCAAGTGTGTCGTTACAAAAATATGCCGATGTTGTACCGATGTGCTCATGAGAAACACAATTATCTGAATTGCGAGCACCAAGAGTAAGTAGATAACAATAATTATATTCCGTTATGAACTTATGCTCAATTATTAATCATTCAAAATTATATTTTAAAAATCAAAGATCTAATTTAAAACTAGCTTATAACTTATACCCTTAATAAAAAACTTGTAAAATGGGTACAATAGCCAACTACTACTTTTTGTAGACAGCATTAAATGAAAATATGACGAATGTTCATATTATATTTTGATACCAAATTTATTTCACAGTAAATGCACAGTGTAAGTGTTCCCATTGACCAATTTAAGATATGCTGAAATGTTCTATATGTTTTACAGTTATGTGCTCCGCATGAAGGAGTTTGAACGTGAGCGTCGTTTGAGACTTCGTGAAAATCGCCTTGTTGGTGTTGCTTAAATGTTTTTAGAAATTTTCACTGAATAATGTAAATAAAATAGTTTGGAATTATATTATAATTGTTTTAATAAACTATAATTTATTCATCTTGGTTTTTTTGGTATGTAAAGAGTTTCAAAAGATGGTCAAAAGTGGTGATGAGAATAAATTGAAAATTTGTGTTCTTGCACTCTATCATGTCTTAGAAAAGTTTTTTATATGTGGTTTTCAAGCAGACTAACTAAATATCATGTCTGAGACTTTGGTATAGACACAATGTTATCTATGTGATATTTCCAAGTTAAATTAAGGGATATATGACAGATGATGCATACTGTAGAAGGTGTTTGAAAAGAAAAAGCTTATGTTTAGCCATGGACTCATACAAAATGATAATGATGCAGTGGAAGTCACACAAACAACAAGCTTTATACAACCAATAACTATTTACACAAGTAATTGCTAGAGTAAGAGGATCGATATAATGCCAATATTTGGAATTCAGCCTGTGGTACAGCAATAAGCAGTGTTACATAGTTGCCTCGAGTCAAACTTTTTTTAATTATCGTATCATGTAGCAAGTGGCCATCAGAATTCCTCAAAAATAGTGAAGTGACCATTGCCCAGTTTTAATCGACAGGAGGAACGAACTGAAAGAGCATATTTCGTATTTGTATGCGTCTCTTCCTTGGCCAAATCCACCACTGGTGGAGAAGAAACCTTAGATTGATGATTTGGTTTCGTCAACTCTTTAACGTATGGTTTGTAGCATTTAAAGTAAATACATGTTTTTTTGCTTGTTACTATTCTCATGATTCGTAAAAGTGTGAAAATACTGAATTATTTTTATTTTTTTTATTTTGTTTTACAAATAATTGTTATTTACAAAAGTCATAGACAAAAAGATAATGACAACCCTTTCAATTTCACATCATTGCCATTATACAAAATAACTGTTTCATAAACTTTCACCTTATCTGTCGATGTTTTTAGAGTCGCTTTTTGTTTGCTATTGTCTAAACTTCCATTCACTGTACATGAACTAAAATGACAAAACTGATATGCAATTACGTACCTTGTTTTGAATTACCATTAAAGTTGACATGACACATTTTCGATATCTAACAATTTTTGTAAACACGCTTGTCGAATACACAAATTATATGTATAAAATAGGCGAATGCTATTTATTGCGGAAGTAATGGCTTCCTAAAATTTAATTGCTGATGTTAATTTGTAAGCGATAGTTTATCCCTTTTAAACAAATACTGTCAGGTTGATAATGTATCCTGATACAGCCAAGTGTGCAGTGTGAATATTTGTGTCATCCGGCTTCTATTCCCTTCAATTTCCAACAGCGTCCCGTACGATAGCTACAAAGAACTCTCTTATAATAAAGATTGTCGTTGTATAATAAGATTAATTAATACATTTTCACACTTTCGACAAATGTTTTGGTATAAATGTATTATTGTAAATATGTTTGTTTTAGATATTGCTTTGTAAAATATCTTTGGAAACTGATGACTACCTTTGCTGTTAACATGAATCCAAGTTAATTTAGAGCAATTACTTATTTATTATGGGTGATACTGGTGGTGTCACTTCTGTTAGAAGCAAAATGAAAAGTAGAGTCGAAGAAGAGGATGATTCGGAAGAAGAAGTTTGGGATAGCGATGACGACGACGAGACCATCGCCAGAATTCAGCGCGCTCACTACGCGCAAGCAGCCGCTATGAATCCTCGTCGGCGGGCGCCTCCGCGCCCTCGACCAATGAGCCACAAAAGAAAATTAGAAGCAGTGAAAAATTTTCATGATTTTACTAAAAAGTTAAAAAAAGACACTGGTATATCAATTCGTAGTTTAGTAGGAAACAATATATTAGAACTAAGTGACTTTTCTAGTGAAGATAGCAAATCGGAAAGTGATGGTTTATCTGAGGAAGAGTTTGTTGTTAATCCAAATGCAGTTCAGGAGTTAGAGGAGGAAAACGAAAGTTACATTGATCCTGTGACAGGTGATATTGTGGAATGCAAGAAAACAGTGCAGAAACCTGTAAGTTCAGACATAATTTCTCACCATACTGATTTAAAGCAAAATGAAGAGCCCAAAACTCTTTCAATCAGTGATATAATAAATGAGGGTATTGACTTGAGTAAAAATGTTGAGATAGCCGAAGTTGAAACAAGTGAATTATGCCCAGACAAATGTCCAGAGGATTTGTTAGATATAAAGCAAGATGAGGCTAGCCAGGACTTTGACGAGTCAAACAATGGAAGTGAGATGCACAATAATGAGGTCAAACCTCAAGATAAGTTAAGTGAGGAAGAGGGTCCTGTAAAGGATGAAAAGAAACCTGAAACTGAAGAAGAGGTAACATGTTAAATATATTACTTCATTTATCCTAGTAACAAAAACATACTTTTCCTTTTAAATATATCATTATAGAACATACTTTTCTTTCTTATATTTATGCTTATTTATTATTTTGGACTACTTTATTCCATTGTTGAAACACTATTTGAGAGTATTACCCACTCATTTTCTTTTAAATAATAATAACCAAAACATTGTTCACAAGTGTTATGGGCAGTCAAATTTTACGGTCATATACAATAAGTTGGAATATTTTTATTAAACCAAAGATATAATAGGAAAAATGTGATACAATTTAGATTTTGTGTTTCAGAAAAAACTGAACAATCTTAATGCAATTAATGTAAGGAGAAATATCAGAGAAGTTATGGATGAGAAAAATTTGGATGCATCAACCTTAACGGCCCAGCGACAGGAGTCTGAACGCCTGGCTCGTGTACAAGAACAACAGAGGATCATCAGAGAGGTTAGTAATATAAAACTGGTAACTTATTACAGTTTTGCTTGATAAGATAGTTTGGTAAAAAATTGGTTTGTATTACATGTTCAGGGCCACAAATTGCCTGGAGAGTCCACATTTATATAAAAAAATTGTAACAGCAATAATTTAAAGAGTATTTTAATTGATTGTTTTTGAGTTAACCTAAAACAGTTTTTGAAATTTGATGTTATGAGATAATTTTGATTCTTATATAATTTATTGTTTTTACAAGATACTGTCTGATGCCTGCAATCCTTCCGCAAGGAATTAAATCTTAATTACTAGCTTATGTGTTCTTTCGGACTATGTTCTACATCTATACCCAATTTCAGCAAGATCCCTTGCCCAATTCTAGTGATACCTTCTAACAAATATCCATCAATATAAACCTATGTATTTATAATATTAGAAAGAATTAGTACATGTTCATAAAATCAAGTAGAAATGTACTATTAGCTAAAAGGCTAAGAAGATCAAATACCTGTATGACATCATATATGAATAATAAGATTGTTTTATCGCATTTCATATTCTTGCAATGACTGCATTCTTGCACTTGCAATTCTGCTTATTTTGGGATGTTAAAAAAATACATATATGAAAACTAAGTTAAACATATGGCTAAATACTGAGATGTATAAATTGAACTCTGAAGATTATGAATTGTCTACACAAATCTTAGAAAGGATGTTTTTATTTATCATCTTAGCCTTCTATCAAAAGTATACACTACCTATAGAAACATTAATGGCTAATTTCTACATAAGTGGAAGATATTATTCCACAATGGTATACTAATCAACTGCAAAACTCACAGTTAATATATTGGCGCTTCCTTTAGGGGTCATTTAATGTTGGAATGTGGCATTAATATATCTTATTACAAAATTTTCAGGTTCAAAGACAAATCGCAATGAACAGACAAAATAAAATTCACCAGAAAACTCTCTCCTTATTACAAGGTGGATCTTCAATATTGAAAAAGTCTGGGCCTGGACAAAAATTAAAGTATGTCATTTGACTTTTATTTTTATTTTTTTTGGAACTAGTTACTTATAAATGTTTTATTTTTAGTTTACCAAACACTGTAACAGTGAAAATGCCATCAGGGGAAATAAAGAGGACTATTAAACATGGGCAAGTTGAACTTACCAAAGTCCAAAAGCCAACAACTTCAGCTATGTTCTCACAAAAGCTCGGCAAACTCGATCAAAAGTCTGAAAAGAAAGAGGTATGTTAATTAATAATATATTAAAAGATGAATTCAATGAATTACTGCTATTCATGAGTGCAAATTGACAATAGTTTTTAAACTATATATATTTTCTCCATATACAATTAATGAAATACTTCATCAGGTTAACAGAAAATATACCTCCAAAGATCATGTAAAAGTAATGAATAAAAACAGTGTTTATGATGTTCATTTGACAATTCAAATTTGGTATTTCAGGTGGTTGAAATTGTTGATAGTAGTAGCGGTGAAGAAACTTCATCATCATCTTCAGACTCTGATGATTGCATAATGTTGTCAGATTCAGAAGTACCACCAAGTCCTGAGGCTGAAGAAGATCCCGCTAATTCTGGTGAGGCTCCACTATTAACATATTAAAACTTATGTGATGAAGTTTCCTTGATGGATTTGAAACTAGTTGGTGAATACACAGACTGCACATCAGTTAAGTTATGATATGAATAGACTTTTCTATTGTTTACTAAAACAGTTCAGTGCCATTAGGATTTTTACGTATTAAAGTAAACAATGAGATACATTATGATATAAATTATACTGAGGATTTAATATTTTTCTTTTGTTACATAAAGGTCTGCATGTAAACGACACTTACAATATACCAGACGAGCAGGGACGTGTCTTGATAAACATTGGTCATCCCGAATCAGAAGAAGATATATTCTTAGCTCCGCAAATTGCTAGGATTATTAAACCACATCAGGTATATCACAATTTGTTGTTTTATTTTTGATATAATAAAATACTTGTACTTAGGAGTAATTACTTAATCTCTGAAACATTGATGTGTTCTTATCAGTCTAGCAGATATTTTTATTTTTACCTTATAAATGTTTTCTTTGCCATCAGATTGGAGGCGTGCGGTTCTTGTTTGACAATATCATAGAATCTGTTGAGAGATTTTCAACGTCAGCAGGATTTGGTTGCATATTAGCGCATTCAATGGGTCTCGGAAAGACTTTAC